TTGTGAAATTATTGTCCGACATGGAACAGCTGCAGTGCTTTTTTCATCTTAAAAGATCTTCTTAATTTCTATAATGAATGTTTCCTTAAATCACTTCCTCAATCAGTTCTTCAAACGGTATCGTTTCGAGTCCATATATAATAGAATTCTTAGACTATGCAAACATGTTCCAGAAGACATTGATTTGTTCGATTGATGACGATGTTTTTAATTCTTCAACCTGTAATCAGCAACTGAGAAATGTGTTAAAAGTAAGGTTTGTATTTATCGTAAGTATAGTGTTTGTTTGTTTGTTATTTAACGTCCCATCGATAATTTTTTATTCATATTGAGACGCCACCACCTGCCAATGGATGGCTGCAAATTAAGATATGCACTCGGCATTTAGGGCCTTTGAATAGTGAGGGATCTTTTTCGAATCACCACTTACTGCGACACGGAACCTCGGTTTCTAAGGTCTCATCCGAAGGACCGGTCTCCACGTCCCGCAGTGGGATTAGAATCCGCAACGTAAGAATCAACCTCTTACTCCACGACTCTACAGCAAACTCTCTAACCACTGTGCCACGCGGACGACCATTTGTATAGTGATATATATACTACATGAAAGAAAAAGATATTAAATGAACATTATACTATTTAGGTTTTCTACAACAACACCCTCTTTTTATTAGGTTGAAATAAATAATGTATGGTCAACAAATACTGAGTATTATAAAACAGCCTCCTTTTTTGTTTCTATATATTTTTTTCTAAGCTTTCATCTGCAGGTATAATCGGCCACCATGAAATAATAACTGGCAGTCTCCTCGGCTAGGTAACACGGTGGTCATTTATCTTTTATCATTCATTTAATTATTCTTTTTAAAAATAAAAGGTATATCATTATATTAAATACATCTACAGGGTCATATATTGCCTTGTTTATCCCTATCTCGCTATGGAAGTGTTTAAGAAAAGGAACAGGGGTTTTAGACTAGAGGCACAAAGTGAACAACTAGGAAAAAATCACTAATTAATGATTTTGTAGACTCTGATTTTTTTTAGTTATTATATCAAAATACAAACACCAATTCCCAGTGTTCCCTGAGTGTTACAGTTACTGTACTTTAGATGGACTTTTAATCTTCCTATAGCTACTTTCTCTTTATTTATTACTGATTTTAGTTGAATTATAATCACCCTTATAAAGAATCTTAAGTATTCAAATCCTCTTATTTTGATTTATTTAAAACATTATACATAATATCTGTATTGAAAATACTATTTCTCAAAAGTCGTTCACCTTTGACATACTATCTTCCAATTTTCAAGTCTCCTTGATGTATTTCGAAATAGAATATGGAAACATAGGTAAGTAATTTAGCTAAGAGTTGGAAATTTAGTTTTGGATTTGACATTGAGATATATCTCTTACTGATCAATATCATTCAATGAATGATATTTCTTTTCCGTCATTTTATATATTTGCGTATATATCACAATAAACTTGAAGTGAAAGACACCAAAGAGTCTGACACATCTGCTTCATTGTTATAAGTTTTACTAGAGAAAGACATTAATGGCAATCTTGTGACATGACCCGGCGAGATTTCCTTTGATGTCAACCGTACAATAACTGCGATACAGAACACTTTTGTGTTGGTTTTTCTTATGCAAATGAACAGAAACTGTACAATAACTACGATACAGAACGGTTTATTTTTAGAGATGACGGAAAGTTGTATTTGCATCTTAAATGAGATAGACATATCATAAGAATCATTCAAATCGCATGATAGCGCTGTTAGTACATGTATTTACTCAAAAATTGAGGTGAATTAAGGATAGAATTTTACAACATATAGTTACCAGTGGTGGGTTGGAAATTTTTAGAAAGGAAGGAGTGAAATTGAAAATCGTATTTTGTGGGAGTAGATTCATAATCAGCCCTGATACTATGTGTGTGATCGTTATGTGTGGAGAAATTAGAATGTATAAAAGTAGCAAAAATAATTTACGAAAGCCAAAAAGGAAAAAAAAATTAAAAGTGGTGGTGAGGGGAGGGGGTGCATACCGCATGCCATTCAGTACCGGATCCGCCTTGGTTTTAATATATTTTTTTTTCTAACATGAAGGTAATAAATTATATGCCCCCTTTCTTTCAACAGTTCATTTCAGTTTAGAGCCAGGAATACTGTATATGACAACCGTCTGATGACATTGTCTGATACTTCTCTCAGAATATAATCCCCTTACCATTTTTGCTTCAATTACATTCCCACATGTTTCTTATGTATGTATCAGAATGTTTTGCACGATGCTAGCTTAAATAAAAAAAATGTTCGCAAGAGCTAAAAACAGGAGAAAAAAAACCTATGCAATCAAATCTAAATTAAAATTTGGGAAGCACATTATATACCACGTTTCATAATTAAAATTATTTAAATAGATACCTGCACCTCCACCTCACTCGGCATTTCAGTTGCGACTGCTAAAAATGGGGTATCAACTTTTTGTAAAATCATCTGATTGGCTGACAGATATGTACCCATACATGCATGTAAATTAGTGAGGTCATAAGAAAGGTCATGTCACAAGTCATTTAGAATACTCGTTTCCCACTGTATCAGAGATACAGGGCGGGGCGCGGCTCGAGCTATCGCTCTCGCCTTAAGCCCCGCCCTGTATCTCCGATACAGTAGGAAACTCGTACTCTAAATATTACTAATAACTAAACTTCATGATAAACTGGACGACTTCATTCTTTCTATCTATATACACATTTACGTCTACGTTTAAGAGCTACGAATGTTAAGGAAATGGTCGTCTGGTGCAGGAGCTATGGAGGACTGAACATCCCCTGTCGATCGGTTACATCCGCCCTGTGCTCCTTGTCATGATAGGGGAAAAAAAAACCTGGAAAAATCCGTAGACGTTTCAGTTTGTAAAGAATGGCTTAACAATTAGTATGAAAATTTTCAGTCAGTATTTGACTTAAAGTCATATATGGCGTATTTTTGATAATTTCAGACTAATTCAAATTAAAAAAAGATCTTTCTTTTGTTTTATTACTTTATATAAAGATAGGACTTTCCTGTAAATTACACAATTTAAATCAATCGCGTTTTATAGATATTAGAAATTTAAAACAATATCCGATTTATTTACCGACTCCGTAGATAAATATCAGACACAGTTTAAAGTCAATTTAACTATAGAAACGTGGAGTTATTCAAGTTCAAAATCTGTGAAAGTTCTAATTTGAACGTAAATAACAAATATTACACTCAATCTCGTATTTTTATTTTTTAGCTCAGATACGCCATATATAGCTTTAATGATGTATTTGCTGACAAGCTCATTATATTGACCATAAAACTTGTTACCATTAATATCTTTTTCAAGTTAAATATCCAAATATGAAAACAAATGCATCTGACTCCGTGGTATCTTAAATACTTAATTTTGGAAATAATTCGTTGGTCTCACTCGTCCTTTAAACACAGGCAATTATTTAAATACGACAAAAATGTTCCCAAGGACACGAAGGACAGACAGCCACCATGTCAATTGATCCATGGCACCCCATCCGATGTTTTTAGAGGTCCGTGTCTGCTCTGTACCAAATGTGTATTGTTCTAATGGACTTTTGAGCTTGATCTTCATATTTTATAAAAATTCTTCATACAAAGGAATATACGTGGAAATAAATTAATGATTTGAAAATCACAAATTACATGTGCATATGATTTTCAGGAATATATATATGTATCCCATTTAAATAAATTTGATTTCTCGTTATGCTGAGTAAAATAAAGGTATCTAAACAACATTATATTCACCCAGGAATACTTAAAGAATGGGACAATTGCACATCCTTTTGTCTGAAATACTAGTAGTTCATAATAAAATATTAATCTTAGCGATAAAAGATGTTTAGTAATTTCTCTGCTAGTGATAATTAGTAATAATTAAAACACAAAATGAACGGACACGAATAAAAGATTTTTGTCTAAGGTAATTTTGTTGCATTCTACTTCTTATGGAATGATTGATCGTTCTATAACTTTCACATTCAAATATTTTGCTACAGAAAATGTTAGTGAATTTCTATTGAAATGTCAAGTTAAATGCAAGGAAATATTTTTTAAACAATCTAATGAAAACTCGATGAAAATTTCCTCCTTTCTAAAATTTAATAAGTCTTCGTTAATTCTCATCATTAAAATACGGAACATTGATATTCTAATGACAAATAACAAGAACATTCCTATCTCCTTATGTTCATTCTCGCAGGTATTTTCTGGGTGTTTGAAAGCATAGTATATATATACAAAAACAATGTTTGGTGTATAAGAATTAAATCATCTAATGAATGACATATACTTATAGACATCCATGATTATGATACATATTCATTAAAGCAATTAGACGTTATTGTGATTATCTTAATTGTAAATATCCAATAAAGGGTTTATCAGTTCAAACGATATTAATAAAGCATTGCATGAAGTGAAATGAATTCGAATTGTAGATTTATGCAGATATTTATAGTCTGTCCCACGGTACCAAGGACCTCACTTTTCGCCTCATATCTCAAAATGTATAAATACCTTGATCTTCAGATTAGGTTCGATCGATAGATCATTTTTTTTCCAAACTTCCTCCATTTATCCGAACCCTCGAGTTCAACCAGTGTATTGACACGGCGGCAAATTCAAAGTCTACGGGGATTTAACATGGTAAACTCGTCCATTAGCGTCGAGATTACGGGGCAGGAAACCAGTTTATTGAGGGAGTAGTCGTTCTTTCCAAATTAAAATTAAAAAAAATCCTAAAAATCCAACGAAAGTAATTCAGTGTGATTTGGTAAATAATATAAGTATGTTTTTGCATTCAAATATATTTTGACGAGTTTTCTCATGAAATAAGAGAAAATAATCCGAATTCAATGCAGTACAAGTTGTGGATATTGAGGTCACGCATTTCCTCTAGAAACGGATGTTGACATGGTCTGGTGCAAGAATGTGTTATTTACAGCTTCATTTGTTGAAAATGTAGCAAGATAGTAAGTTGTCGTCCATTTCTTTATTTTATACCATATATACACCCAAGAAAGAACTGTTTCAAATGCTAAGAATAAGTCAGAATGTTCGCTAAAGTGCCCCATAACATGTTACATGTACATGTCAAAGAAAAAAACAATTTGAAACAAAAAGAAAACTGACATTTTTATCAACTTATTTCAAATCATAAAACTATAAGAAGAAAAAAAAAAGAAAGTGTAGAAATACACCTTTTAATTATAATGACAATGACTTTTTTTTATTACAAGCTGGTAGTTTTTTATTTATTCATTTAAATGCATGATCATGTAGGTCGATCTACTTTCACTTTGAACACTTCATGCATTTGGCTGATCCATAAAAAGCAAAATTTTACATTTATGTGATGTCAGCACCTTGACGAATCACTTTACAGTTTTTTATATATAACAAATATTTTTGACACTCAAGATTTTTTTCTGAACTTTTTAGTTTTAATTACAGGACAGATCGAGTTATAAGGGTCTTCTGTGTTTTATCGAACAGTGCTATGGGATATTGCTAGGTAGTAGGTGTAAATTATATAAATAAATGTTACAAGTTGATCGATGCAGTCCAGATTTTACTATATTTTAAGAGTTAACATATCTACTGCATACTTTGCCCAAGATTAAAAATCAACATAATTTATCCACTAAAATACTTGCATTGATAAAATTGCATGAAAATCAAAGGATGTTATATTTCACTTCTAGGCACAAGTGCATATGGTAAATACCATATATGGATTATTTGCATTATATTGCATTACAGACATGCTAATGCTAAATTTGTACATGTAACATTAATTACATATATCGGAGATTCACATTACCGGTATCTGACTTACACCTACTGTTATGCATTTTTTAATATTTTGTTGTTGGGGGGGGGGGGGGGGGGGGCTTAAGGTTACACATTAAATGCACTTAATGCAGTGTTTCTCATTTTAAAAATGTTGAGTAAAAAAATTTCCCACCTAAATAAACAATGCATTTATTTATCTATCTTTATTTGACATAATCCAAAGAATTTTTTTCCACTATTTGATAAACATTGTTATTATTATAATGTCTAATATCCTCAAAATATTCTGTAACTTTTAAATAAAGGACAATCAGTCAGTGAATGAATCTTTAACACAATTCATGTCTCACATTATACAAATTCTCTCGTGATTTTTTTGTCTTTCAGTCTGTGTTTACAGTTTTTTATATAATTCACTTTCGATTCTGTAATTATGTTCAATTTACTGTATAATAATTTTCTAGTTTTAAACTTTTCAAAAAAATAAGTTTTTTTATTTCAAGACATTTTTTATTGTCGAAATATGTTCTAAGTTTACCCGACATACAACCCTTGAGACTTCTATTTACTAAAACACTAAGTATCTTTAAAAAAAAAATCATCTTTCATAATTTCTTTTACATGTAGATGTTTCTTTAAAGTTATTAGTTTTATTATTTACATCCCCCATAGTAGACCCATTTTGTTCAAACACCGCAAAAAGAAAATCAAGCAAAAAATCCATACATAAGCAAAATTAATACATCTGATCATGTAATTTAAGGACCCTCTATACACCAATGAAAAATGTTTTTTAGGCTCTGAGAAAATTATATCATATAAAGATATAAATATGGAGTTTATCTAGTAATTATAATAGTATTTAATTTTCAACATAGGGTACCTGCCATTTATCCCCAGGAAAAATATTCAAAGACAATGAATTGTTGGTGAACTGAAAACACCGTTGCTTACTTGAATGGCAAAAATTCATGCAAATAAGGCGGTCATTTAATTCAACTAGACCAAATGAAATGTTTAGAATTTTTTAATTGATTACAAATTGAATAACAAATTTAGATTTCAATTTATTTCATTTTAGATCTAAGGACAGATCACTTTAAATGCAAAAAATACCATGGAATTGGAACTCTTTAGTGTGCAATGTATAGAGGGTTCTTAAGTATGAACAGTATTCTAGCACAATGAATAAAAGGTCAAGGTCAAAACACTAAAATAATAAAGGTCAAAAAGCAGAGATCATTTAAATTGTAAATGGGCACATCACTGATCTGGTTTGTGTCCCTTTTCCAGTTTATTCATGTTATTCAACACCATTTGAAGGACTAATTATTGATTAATTAATTGTAATAAAGAAGCAACATTTACATTGTTATGTCTTTATTAACTATAAAAAAATATTTTGAAGGTATTAATTAATTGGAATACATTGTTGTGATGAGCAGACATCAAGATGAGAAGGCACACATGCATGTAGAGGACAATCCACTCAAATTTTCAGAATAAAGTGTTTGGAGTTTATCTAGATGAAACATACATGAACAAGTTTCAGGACATTCTTCTGGATGGTCTGGGCAGTAAGTATATAAACATGTATATGAATATAAAAGAAAATGTCTTTTTTCTGTCTGAAGTGTATACTTGGCCCCTGTATCTGAAATTAAAAAATCATCATGTATTTTTCATATGTACAGAAAGAATTCACGATATTATGATACATATATAAATGAAATCACCTGAATTTTCATTATTCCTTAATTTCACTTTACAGAGAATCTTCATGTTATTTGGTATGTTAATATGTGTATTATTGTCATCTTTTTCAGGCCCAAAGACTAGTCTAAACCAAAGATTACCAGGTAGTTTGCCCAGTAATGATCACTTGATGAGCCAGACACAAAGTGTTAGTGATATGGAAAGAAAAATACTCACTTTCTAATCCATTCATAGATGTTGTTTCTCTCCTCGGCTTCATGTTTATTACGTCCAATACGAGTCATGACTTCTTTTGTACCAATTGACATTCAAACCATGGATACCAGCAGCACTGAGCATTTCTTCTTCAGTCTCATGAATATCTATAAGATAATCTTAATAAATATAGGATAGGCAACTCATTTACCGCTTGGAATATTTTTCAAATTAACTTAAAATGCTGAAAACAGTTCAAACAAAATTACAATTAACATAGTTATGTTGAGTGGTTTTACCCTGTTATTTCACTAATTTAAGATTTAAGCATTTTGAGATTTGATATTTTTACAACTTTTTATTCAAGTTTTATAACAATTTTCACAGTATGAATTTGATTTGCAAAGCTGAAGTTGTAAATTATGATACTTGGTGTCTTGAACACTGATATGTCTCAAATATCCATGGATATGTCAAAGTGATTTGGAAGTCCCAACTACTTTAATATTCTTGAAGTATTTTACTCTTGATATCTTGAATACTTGCCAATGGATATCTCAGATTTTTTATCAGTCCCATCGTAGGATAACGAGGTTTGACAACAAAGTTTGACTAATTAATATTATTAATACGAACACGTATGATGACTTCTTTTTTTCTGGCTTGTCAAGCTTGAACTGAAAATGTTTGGTCCCCCCCCCCCCAAACACACACACACTTAAATTGCTTCCCAAGGGCCTGACCCCATAATTTAAAAATGATTTCACAGATAACTGTAGACAAATTCCCCTAAAAAATGTATTAGTAAGCTACATACACATTTCTGCAGCTACCTAAGGTTGAATTAATTTAATACAATGTACATGTTTGCATGCTCTTGTCTGTCTGATATGTCTTCATGTTCTCTTTCCTAATAATTAAATTAATGTTTCAAAATAAAAAAAAAAATAATGCTTAATCTAGTTTTATCTATTGTTTTTATTTTACTTTTCATTGTTATTATTATTTAAAAAAATAATCAGAAGGCTTTGATTTATATTTCTCATGTTTCTTGCAAATGTAGAATTTTTTCACATTAAACAAAAGTTTTTATATAAAGAAAAATAAAGTATACAAATAAACATAATAAATATAAAAAAAATATATTCCATTCATGTTCTTGGGGTTGTGTGATTACTATCTTTGTATTTTATGTTTGGCATTAGAACTGCTACATATATGAAAAAATTATTAAAAATACATAATTGTTTGAAGTCCCAGGGCCTGCGTTTACCTAATGCCCATACAGGAAGTTTTCCAAGGGCAAGGTTAAAATCCATTGATGACGTAGTTTGATGCAGACAACATGTAGGCCTAGATCTTGTTTTGCACAGTGATTCAAAATATATAAACGTGGATTTGTATGTGCACTGCTTAAGAGTTATAAATGTACCAAAGCCAGTAAGTGAATTCGTGTTACAAGTGATGTTTAACAAACTTTTTAACCGTGTTTACAACAAACTACAGTAAACTGTCTAGTGTGTTGGATTTATTTGCGAGGCAAAGGTAAAGTTGTAATTAATATAAATCTAAATTATTAGAACATACTCGCTTACAGATTACTGTGTTGGTAAAGCAATGATGTCACTTGGTTGAATTTTGTTAATTGTAGCCTCGATCGTTCTTTCCATTACTGATTACTTTTGTCAGTTATGACTTCTGAAGAAGACATGAGTTGAATCTTACCTCTTTTCTTAGTAGTGTTAAACATTTGTTCTCGGATTCGTCGAAGACGCTGTTTTGCAATTTTTTCGTTGAAAAATCTGTGTTTATTGGGCACTTGGAAAGTCTCGGGCTGTATTGCGTTCCGTACATCGATAAGCAGAGAGCATTCCCGAACGTGAGTTACGTCATTATGTCACTGACGGCGATGTACGGAAAATCACGAATAATGATGGATCCCCTTCCGAAGTGGTGGCCATTTTGGTAATGTTGAATCCCCGTAGACTTTGAATTTGCCGCCGTGTCAATACACCGGTTGAACTCGAGGGTTCGGATAAATGGAGGAAGTTTGGGAAAAAAATGATCTATCGATCGAACCTAGTTTGAAAGCCAAGGTATTTATACATTTTGAGATATGAGGCGAAAAGTGAGGTCCTTGGTACCGTGGGACAGACTATAATAGTTATCGAACAAACATAACTGATAAGATAGGTGGATGCAGTGAAAATACATTAATGATAACTCAAATCAGAAATAAAAAGGTAAATAAAATAAAGTCGCATCAAAACAAGATGATAACTAATCCAGAAAAATAAACTTACCTTTATTGTGAAAAGTCACATAGGGCTCAGTTACTGACAAAAATATACTTGTTTTGGAAATATTATTTAAAAAAAAAAACAGAACAGTAAAGAAAAATATCGGGACTTTAAATAAATTCTGGTACACATAGGGGAGTCATAGACTATTAGCATGTGCTTACTAAATCAGATCTTTATGCAACATAGTGTAAATAAAATTTTAATCCTGTTTAGATAGACAATAAAAAAAGAATTCATGAATGCATGTAAAACTTATGATAAACTTAAGTAGAACTTGTAATGGAAAGCTTTCACTAGACGAGTGTACGAAAGTTGTAAAATATATAGAATAAAATGAGACTCCACGAAACGATGATTTATCTGCAGAATTGTATAAATTTTGTGCAGAAAAGTTTATTGTGTAATACTCGATTCATTCCATAATGCTTGTTATAGTGTGCATTAACTGAAACAAAAACAGGTGTCGCCTGTTTCAGTGCAGATCGAATTGGGAATAACAATGATGAGAAAGATTAAACAAAACTTTCTCAGTTTTCCAAACCATCCAGTCCACATGTATATCCTCTAACTGGCAAAAGGGAGTTTTTTTTATTCAAGAAAAACGTAATTATAAATGTATCTTCTGAGACTATGCTCTGGATTATATAAATTAAGTGACTGCACTCGAGTTAAACCCTCCTTAAAAAATACATAGTGATTTTATTTCAAGACGTAATTGGAAAATGGTTCAAATTAGAAAATTCTCATTTTAAGAGGGAAGTCACAAGACACTTAACAGACATCCAGAAACACTTCTATTGAGCAAAAGGACAAGGACGTTATAAAATTCCTGAAATAAGCAATAAGTGGATACTCCACCACATGCTGTTAGATTTTATGACTGTTCTGAATCACGGAAAATGGTACTAAGATGTTGACTGTTTACAAGGAATATCGAAAATATCCAGAGATAAACAAACTGAAACCTAGACAGGAATTTCCTAACTGATATAGTTCTTTCAATATCTTTTGAAATGCTCAGTACCAGTGACAAGGATTCCCTAACTGTATTTTCACCCAGAAACTTCTCTGTTCCAGCTGTGTTAATTTGGTTGTTAAAAGTAATTCCTCCTTGAATTTGGCCTTAGATGTCAGATTTAAATCAAAGGACACGCAACGTTTGGAAATATCAGGAACTTCTGAAAATAATATAAATCTGATCAAAATCATTAACTGAATACCCTAATTCTAATTGGGGATGTATTTTTTCATATTAGTTTAAATCCTACAATTCCTTTAAATCTTTTCTCTTATAAACTAAAGAAATTGTAAAATTGTACTAGATCCCCTGAAACAAAAAGAAGAAAATAATACAAAAAATAAGGTGGACATTTATACAACATAATATAAAGATCAGAAACAAAAACTAAAAATTATCAGTATCAAAATATTTTTAAAAAGCCCGTCAAGAATGTTTATGTTTATCAAGTAACAATTCAATCCCATCATTGTCGCCTGCGTGGGGCAGTTGTTGAAGCGTTTGATTTAGAGTCCCGGAGAAAGTAGTTGATCCTTTGGTCGCAGGTTCGAAATTCACTGCTGGACGTGGAAACCAGACTTTCTGATGAGACCATATAAACCGAGGCCTTGTGTTGCAGCAGATGGTGGCACGAAAAAAAGACTCCTCACTGCTCAAAGGCTGCACGTGTCTAGTACAGTTCTAAATTTTCAGCCCTCTACCGGCAAGTGGCGGGGTCTCAAAATGATCATGATTGAACATTTCTCGATGGGATGTTAAAGAAACAATCAAAATCCCTCCCATAATTTATTACTTTTGAAGAAATATAGGTCAAATAATTAGAAACAATGGCTTTAAAACGCTGGTATGGATTAGAACCTTACAGTGTTATAAAAGTGACCACTGAGGTATGAATAGCAATTGCTCTTCTCGTCTGGTATATTCCAGGAGACACACTAACGCATCATGGAAAATATGCCCGCTGACCAATTGCTTTTCATAACCCAAGAACCATTGAATAACTTTCTTTATTTCTTATATTTGCTTCTATGATATTGTAAAGAATGGATAGAGAAAATGCTGAACGAAATGTTTTATGCACTGCTGCTTGTTTACATTAAAAGAAATTATTTTATAATTGATGAAATAATTCAGCATACCTTATTCATAAACAAATGCCAAATCAATAACATAGAATTATAGTGGTATTTGCGTCTTATTCCGTTATCTGTCAATATGCCATCGACATCTTCACATAATAGTCAATACTTTTCATTTTAATTCTACTATTTGATAAACACGTATGGTGTCATCCTTCCAAGTACCTAAAACGTGGCATGTATATAGAATAAGAAGATAAGTGTAGGGGTATATTAAAGTTTGAATATGTTTACTGATATTTGGAAGTTGAAATGAAGCATGACATACTAGATGCACAAATTTCGCCAAAAAATAATTCAAAATACCAACGTATAGAGTAATATTTGTTGTTTAAAGATTCCTACGGGGGAATTATGGAAGTTATGCTAATAGTTTACGATAAATGAAAGCGTAAGATGTTATTTTTTCAAATTTTAAATCTAAACCATAATGTTTTTTTTAAAAAATGGAAGGCAATAGAAATTAAGAAAAATAGTAGTACGGTACTTTTGGAATAGACGATATGGATTTAACAGAAAACGATTTGACATTCGTTCTTCAGTAGCAGAAAGTGTAATATTAAACTGAAATGGTAACATATACACGTGCAGCTGTATGTTTTTTTATTTATTGTGTAAGCAAAGAAGAAGTATCACAAAGTAGTTCAACAAAATAAGATACTGAGATTTTTTAAAATAAAGTTTTGATGATTTCAAGAAGTGTTAAGATTATACTGGGGGAAATATTGTTTGTTTGTTTGTCTAACGTCCCTTTCGAGAATTTTACACTCATATAGAGACA